CTTCATTAGAGTTTCCTGAAGCTATCACTGTCATTCTCTGAGATTGGGGGTGCATTAGTTACCTAAAAAGTAATTACTGTAAAAAAAAAAAAAAGAAAAAAAAGTTATTACTGTGAGCTGGGTGTGGGGGTGCACATCTATAATCCCAGCCCTCTGGAGGCTGAGGCAGGTGGACCACTGCAAGTTCGAGGCCAGCCTGGGCTACAAAGTGAGTTCAAGGCCAGCCTGAACTGCATAGTGAAACTCTGTCTGGAAAACACAATAAATAAATGAATAGATTTTTTTTAAATTGGTACCGGGGATGGAACTCACAACCACATGCTTGCACGGCAGGCGTTTATACTGCTGAGCTAAATTCTCAGCCCCAATAAATAAAGTTTTAAAGGACTACTGTGACAACTCCCCTAGACTAGGTCTCTTTCTCTTTCTCTCTTTTTGGAGGTATTGGAGATTGAACCCAGGGCCTTGTATGCTAGCCAAGTGCTCTCCACTGAGCTACATTCCAACCTTTTGTATCCTTTTGTAAAAGGAGGTTTAATTTGGCTCTACCTTATTCTTGAGACAAGATCTTGCTAAATTGTCCAGGCTGGCCCGGGGACTTGCAGTTCTACCCTAAATAACTTATATTACAGGGTGTCTTCATCACACCACACCTCCATTTATGTACGCAGGAATGCATGTAATGGGGATTGAATCTAGGGCTTTTGCACTGAGCTATATAACACTTCCCCACACCTTGAGACAGAGCTCACTAAAGCACTGAATTGTCCATGCTGGGCTTGAATATGTGACTCTCCCGCCTTAGCCTAATAGGGTGCTGGGATTACAATCCTGGCACAGTCCTCTTTTTTTTTGGTACCAGGGATTGAACTCACGACCTTGCACTTGCCAGGCAGGCACTTATGCCACTGAGCTAAATCCCCAGCCCAGTCTTTTTTTTTTTTTTTTTTTAAACAAGGTTTCTATGTAGCACAGGCTGGCCTTGAAGTTGAGATCCTCCTGGTTCAACTTTGCCATTGCTGGTATTACAGGTGTGTATCATCATCCTTTGCTCAAAAGCCACAATTTATTAAAACACAAAACAACAAAACAAGGGAGCAAGGAAGAGGGAAAACTATTTTAGTTTTTGTTTTGTATTTTGAGACAGAGTCTCGCCATGTAGTTCAGGCTGGTATTGAACTCACTATATAGCCCAGGCTGGTCTCGAATTTGCAGGAATTCTCCTCCCTCAGCCTCTGGAGTGCTGGCATTACAGTCCTTATCACCATACCCTATTTTAAATCCTCAGAGCCCCCCCCCCCCTTCCAATATAACCATTCTAAAGCTTAAACATCCAACATGCCTCTGGTCATCAGACTTCCTTGCTGGCTAAAAAGCAATTGAGGAATGTGTATTCTCAAATTCTTTGGCTAGAGAGCTAGGAAATAGCTCCCACCTGCCCAGTGGTTCTCTCCCATTGTGAAACAATAGCCTCAAGGTATTTAGGAAACTCCCACCACTTTCGAACAACTGTTGAGGAGAGTACTACAGCCTGCACTTCAGAAGCACATTCCAGTCAAGGATGGGTTGTGTGACCCATCGTCTCCTAAGATTATAATGAAGCTAAAAACTTCCTATTGCCTATTGATGTTGCTGCCTAACTCGAGGAAACTCAGTAAGCAACTCACATATTTGTGGCAATGGTGACCATGCTGCCGGCAGGTCCTATGAAAGATATACAGTACATGCTACCAAGAATGGTAAGAGACCACTGAGCTAATGGTACGCATTTGCTATTCTATACATTTTATCATTGTTCTATACTCCTCCGATTGAAAACAACTGACTGTAAAACATTATGCCATGTTACCTCAGCAGCAGTCTTGGAGTCTCCTGGGTAAGGAGTCTCTTGATTACATTCAGAGGCTCGCTGAGTGACTGATCTGCTGCATCTGGGTTTGTGTAAATCTGCTCTAGGAAGTACGTGCACCGACGGAACTGCCTGCTGAGCGCTTCTCAGATCATCACCGTTGTTAAGCAACACCTGGCAGGCTGAAGACAGGAATTACTGCCGAAGAAGTTATTTATTGGAGAGTGTTTTACTTTCCTTAATACTGAAGGAGCAAAAATGTCCTTTTAACACATTAGACATTGTGTATATATCACATTGAATTTCTTGCTGGGTGTGGTGGCACATGCCTGTAATCCCAGGACTCAGGAGGTTAAGGCAGGAGGATTGTGGTGAGTTTGAGGCCAGCCTGGGATATGTAGCCTGAACTATATAGTGAGATCCTGTCTCAAAAAATTGCATTAAAAATATGAGGGCTGGGGGCTGGGGATTTAGCTCAGTGGCATAAGTACCTGCCTTGCAAGCAGGCAGTCGTGAGTTCGATCCCTGGTACCGATTAAAAAGAGAGAGAGAGAGAGAGAGAGAGAGAGAGAGAGAGAGAGAGAGAGAAAAGAATTTAAAAATATGAGGGCAAGGTTGTAGTCAGTAGTAGAGCACCTGCCTGGAATACATGAGGAAGGGGTTGATTTTCCTGTACTATAGAACAAAACAAGTTGAAGCAGCTGCACAGTTAACAATAACTTGATGGGGGTTAAACATAGAAAATATTCTGTATAGATGGACTGAAAGACAGCTTGATTTCAGAAAGAATAAATATCCCCCAAAGAGCAAACTTTGGACATAGTGAAACCTAGAAGCCACAGTGATCATGTAATGTCATAAGAGGAAGTCTCATAGGTCACAGTGCCTTGACATCACACATGGTCCCCTACTCACTGCCCAGAGCATCTCAATTCACACCTGAAGAAGGAGGTTTCACACCTGAAGGAGGTCTCTTAGGTAAGTACAGCTTACCATAGTAATGTGTAGCTTGGCTAGATGTGGGGTGTACCTATAATCCCAGCATCCTGGGAAGCTGAGGCAGGAGGATGAAAAGTTCAAGGCCAGTTTGAGCTACCTTGTATAGAAAAATAGAAAAGTGTGGGGGATTTAGTTTAGCGCAAAGGCCTTGGGTTCAATCCCCAGTAACACACACACAGCGATGTATAACTCAAAATGTTTGTCTGTTAATGTACGAAAATAAACATTCAGTGTTTTTAGATGTACAAAAATAATTGTTCAAAAGTTGAACTGTATCGGGGCTGGGGATTTAGCTCAGCGGCATAAGTGCCTGCCTTGCAAGCAGGCAGTCGTGAGTTCGATCCCTGGTACCGATAAAAAGGAAAAAGACAAAAAAAAAAAAAAAAAAAAAAAGTTGAACTGTATGATTTTTAAATTTATTTTGTTTGATTCTTTTTCATGTTGCTGGGGACTGGACCCAGGCCTTTGTACATGTTAGGCAAAGCAGCTTACCGATGAGCTACTATCCCTGCACTTACAGTTTAAGTTTTAAATTTGTTGTTTCAAGGTGATCATTTCTGAGGTAATTTGACGTGTGGTAATACATACAAACACAGCAAGATTTTTACAATAGTGAACGTAAGTATGTTAAAAGGGCTAGTGGAAAAGATGTAGAGAATGTGAACGACTTGAGAATTTCAGTTTATAGACATTTGAAACCTTACTTTATAGTTTTAGTGAGAAAAGCGGAGTTTATTTCCCTCTTTCCATAGGATTAGGGCGATTCTGTATTTTTTTTTCCCACGGTGTAGTCTACTTTAGCAAAACAGTACACCCGTGTGCTATTTTGGCCTCTTGGGAAACATGGCATGAAGCATGTTCAAGTTTGCTAGAAAGAGATAATGATCGCTTTTAGCCACACATCTCACGAAGAGTTCATCAGGATATAGGTCTAGGGAGAAAATGGCGACGGGTGGGGTGGCAGCAGGGAAGGGGGGACACAGAAATACCTCAGTTGATAAGATCAGAAATGGGCAATGGGTGACCAAATTTAGTGTTAGTTGTACAAACATTATCTTCCAACTGTGTATTTCTGACACCTACACTTTTCCCAAAAGAGATTTCATAATTTCACAAAACAGTCCTAGTGTATTTTTATTCTGAAAAAGATATAAAACCATTAGCTAAAAATTCTATAGCTGATTTGTTTAAAAACGAATAAAAATCCCTGCCCTCTTTAGGTTCTTTCTTGCATATTTTGGATGCAATCAGAAACAGAACAGCGTTTGTAGATCCAGCATTTATTTGTGAGGCGAAGGCATGCCAGTTTTTATGATTTTCCCCACCTCTGGGAAATTTATTTCTGAAACGTGTAATTGCTGTGCAATAAGCCAAGTGGAACTGTGACGCAATAACGTACTGCAAATTGCCTTACGAAAAATGATGTCATTTGGCGCAGATCTAATCACTTTTATAAGACAGAGCTATAGCAAAGCTCTTTCCTTGTCTTCGGTTTCCCATCGCGTCGCATGCGAGATGCAAAACATTTCCCGGGGCTCCTGTCAATCTACTTGTCCGCGGTGGGCGCACCTAAGTAGCTGGGGCCCACCGCTAGCGCTGGCGGGCAGGGACTGCTGAAAGGGAACGTGCAGCGCTGGGCGTCCCCAGCCCCGACGGCGGCGCTGCAGGGGAAGCCGCGTCGGGCCGGGGCCGCAGAGCTGAACTCCCTCTTTTCCTTCGTCGGCTGGGCTGCCGGGGCGGGACGGCGGCGGGGACGCAGGGTGCCACGGGCTCGGGACAGCCCTCCCCCACCCGGTTGGTTCCCACACTCGGTCCCGCTCCCGTGGCGCCGGAAATGACGCGCGCCGGGCTGAAAGATGGCGGCATTGGCGCTGTACCAGGGGGAAGGTAAACACCCGCCAGGCCCCGCACTGGCCCCCTCGGGGCGCCGGTAGGGGCCGAGCCCCCCGCCCCCCAGCTCTGGGCCTGGTCTCCACCCCGCGGCTTCCCATCCTCCGCCCCCCTCCTGGCGTGGGGGTCTTCCTTCTCCAGACTACAGAGCACTGGGCCCCCTACCGGCCGGCCCCGCCTCCCTGGGCGGGCCCCGGGCGGCTCCCCGGCCCGCAGGGGGCGCGAGGCCCGGAGCGGCCCCTGGCTTGTGGCCCCACACGCCCCGCCCCTTTCCCGCCCCTTTCCCGCCTTCCTCCACCCCCGGCGTGGGTGATCCTGAGGCTCGGCGCGCTTCGGGGCAGAAGCCCGGAGACGCCGCCGTCGACGTCGCCGCCGCCGGCGTTCCAGCCGGTGCTCACGGCCCCTTGGCCTCTTCCCCCGCCCGTGGCCCCAAGTCGGCCCTCCAGCCGAGCTCCGCCGGGCGCTGGGAGGTCCTGGCGTTGCAGAGCCGGCCCCGACGCCGTGCCGCCCCGCGCCTAGCCGCGCTGTCTGGACTCGGGGGCCGCGCTGCGCTGTCTCCTTGCCCAGGACTGGTTCCGAGGGGGTCGCGGGCGCGCAGGCTCGGCCCCGCCGGAGTGGCCCGGGAGCGGGCCCGTGTAGACGTGTGAGAAGCCTGCGGAGTGCCGTCCCGGCGCCTGCCCGCCCATCGGCCCGCCGGCCCGCTTCTTCCTGATGCAGACTGCCGTCCACTAGAGGCTGGACAGGACCCCCGAGGTGCGTAGCCGCCCCTGGCCGCCGGCCTGCCCTGCCGAGCCCGGGCTTCTTCCGTGGCCCCCAGCGAGGCACAGATGCCATGGCTCTCTCTGCACCGACCTGAGGCCAACGTTTGGTAGACGCCGGGACCCAGTGTGTCTTTGAGTTTACTTAAATTGTTTGAAATGCAATTATTTTTGTCAGAGAGAGCGAGAGAGAAAAAGGAAGAAGCATAATTCAGCCATTTTTTGCAGCACACAGCTGCAGGTACCATGATTATTTTTCCCCTAACCCATTCCTTCCCTTTAAAGATTGTATTTATGCCTGAAACAGAACTATGCGAAATGCCAGGCATAAAACGTGGAATCGGAAGGTCTGGGGTTTGCCTGGGTGACTGAGAAAACCGCGTACCAAGCATCGGTTTCCTATCTGTGAATTGTAGTCAGTAATACATCATAGGATAGTGAACACTGTATGAGGTCATATACATGAAAATAATCTATAGCTGTAAAGTGTAAAAATGCGGGACCTTTTTAAAAGTAACCTTTGCCAGACTGGTTAATGTTGTAGTGGCAACTGTTGCTGCTGCTTTATTTCTGTATTATAAGTGTAAGCAAATAAGTACAAAATAGCAAAGCTGCTGTGAATCGATAGATACATAATAGTCACGTTGCCTAGCCTTCCTCCTACGAAATGCTAACTGCTTATTTAAATAACGGTATTCTTTAACTCAAATGTTACTGTAGGGCTTTGCTTTTCATCTTTACAGGCCGCTTAGGCCCCTTTTCTTACTCAGAATATTTAACACCTTACATTTGGTTAGTCTCTTACATTTTTCGAATTTTTCTCCTTTGTTAATCTGACTTAATTGTAATTTGGAGAATGCTTTTTAGATGCATATGTCCTAATTTTAATGTCTGTTTTTCATATCTAGAGAATAGAATGCCTGAATATCCACTCATTTGAAAATTGCTTTTGAAGAGCTTATGAATGCGTTTATGTCTTTATGTATTCTTAGTAGATGTAAAAATGTATAGAAAATTTCAACTTTCAGCACTTGATGTAATATTTGCGTAATTCTTATTTTAAAAATATCGACACTTAGTAGGTGCTTTGAGTCAGTTTATCAAGTGGTAAAGGATGTTAATTTGCACTCATTACTGGTGATTAATTTGGGGAAAGAAAAGGATAATAAATATTTGTGATTTGAAAATCGAATTTATTTGCCAGAATTTTTATGTGTAACAAATTAGTATGGAATCATACTTACTTGGTACATCAAAAATGTAGTATAGTTTGGCTTACAAATGGTTCACAAAAAGTGACAAGTATTTTGGGGGATAGTTTTAGCTGACATGGTTTTCTGAATAGTTAGATATTTTATTACATTAATAATCACTTAGTCCATTATCAGTTGTCTTTTAAAGTATGGTTTTGTGTTCTGCAAAAAGGCAGAATAATTGTAAAGCAGGAGGGATTAAAATTGCAGAAGGAAGAATCAACATTCAAGTTTTTGCTTTTGGATTGATTGTCCTGAAGATAAAATTCTGGCAAATCGCTGCTTTATTGAGAATTTCAAGGTTTGACCTTTTCTCTGCTTTGATTTGGGTTATGTCCTAAAATATTGGAACTAGGGCTGGTGGGCCTCCTGGATCTTCAGAAAGGTTCCCACACTAGTTTTAGTAATTTTCAGGTAAACTGGCATTGTACAGTATAAAGGTGAATGATAAAATTTGTGCTAGTAATTTATTTAAAATTTCAATTTTTCTTAGAAACAGCAAATACCATGACAAGTCAAGAAAGATGAAAGGAAAAAATTTGATATTTTAGTGCCTTTAATGTTTTTTTCCTGCTTCTGAACAAATGATGTTACTAGCCCATTGTTAAGCTTGGCTTTTCTCAAAAGGTTTTGAGAGTGAATAACATTAACTTTGAGGAGAATGAGTCTTGATGTTGGAGGAGGATGTATGGGTTAGTTTATTAGCATATATTTTCTGTGAATTGGAATGTTCTAGCTTCAGTGTTTTTTTTTTTTTTAATTGAAGAGCAATGAAAGATAGTCACCGGTGAGGCATTCTGGATACTGACAAATCAGGAAGGTTGTGAAGTTAAGCAGACCCCAGCTCTGTAATCTTCCTGATAACTGTACCCTTGGATGAGTTAACCTCTGAGGTTTGGTTTTTCTTCTCGTTAAAACAGAAATAGTTATAGAATATGGAAGATCGTGAGGTTTAAATGTCTAAGAAGTGTTTACTAAGCACTTATTATGTGCCAAGCACAGTTCTAGGTACTGGGAATATACCAGTGAAACAAAGTATTTCAAGCAGAAAGCTAATAAATAGGTACCTTGCTGTTTAATAGACTATAGAGAAGAAGCAGAGGGAAAGGGATTGTATGAGCCATGGGGCAGATAGGTTTTGCAATTTTAAAAGAAGGTGTTTGAGGAAGGTCTGAGATTACACTGAGACAAAGCCCCCAAAGGGACCAGTGGGTACCAGTATAGAGTGATCCAGGTAGAGGGAACAGCAAATAGAGTGCCCTTAGGATGAGAGTGTGGGTGATTTTCAAGAAATAGCAGCGGTATAAGGCAGAGTAAAAGGAAATTATTACTGTCATTTAAGAATCATTGGAGCGGCTCTCACAGGTCATCTCTGCCATGGGGACATACTGCATTGCTCCTGGTTCCGAAAGTGGAAGACCATTTCAGAATTTGAGGTTTTAACTTGACAGCATGTGCGGTACTGGGGAGCGAACCCAAGGGAGCCTTTCTCATGCTAGGCAGGCACTCTATCACCGAACTACATCTGCAGTCCAGAAATTGTAACTTTGAACTAAAGAAGCCAGCAAGGGCAAAGTAGGTTCTCAGTTTTCTCTCTAATATAAGATCTTTAAAGCTCTTCTGGCTGAATCATTGAAACAAATAAGAACAGATAGAAAATTTTTCCCTTGTCCTTAATAAGATCTTTTAATTTAGTTAATGATTCTGTGTCCTGGACTTTAAAGATTTGGAGAAAGTCTATATCATAACACCAAGACCTCAGAAAGATTTAATTTAGTGATATAATTCTTGGAAAACTAAGTGCTAACGTTACATTTAGTGCTAACATTACAGGATTGGTGAATTCACCTTAGAATGTGACTTAGAAGATTTGGGGTTTTATTTCCCCATTAGAGGCTTTTCCTAGAATTCTACCTGAATGCATTCTCTCCAAGGCCAGGGAAGCTGTTTCTATGACCTCACTGTTAGACTACTACTTGTAGTGAGGAGTAAGCAGAGGAGTAAACAGAAGAGCATTCAATTATTCTTGGGGAAAAACAGCATTGAACCAGTGGGTATTTTTCTTATAAGTGTGTATTATAGGATGATGAAATGCTAAACATAACTGACAAGTGAAATCATTTGGATAATAGATGCCAACCTAGAAGTTGGAGGACCCAGAGCCTTCTTAATAGTTCAGTTAAGTGGCCATTTGCAGTTTGATGTACTGAGTTAGAAAGATATTTTGATGATAAGAATTTGCAGTAAGTATTAAATTAAAGTTATGCCGCTCTTCCTCATATTAAACTGAGTTGTTTCTCATTTTGAGTGATGTATCTAGGAGGGTAAAATGTCTGCTAACAGTTAAGTCTGTTTTCAGGGTTTTTTTTTCCTTTAGATTGGTGCTTGAGAAGTTGTCCGCTGAGATGATTGAATTTAAAATTATAAATTGTGGGGCTGGGGATTTAGCTCAGCGACATAAGCGCCTGCCTTGCAAGCATGCAGTCGTGAGTTCGATCCCCAGTACCGATAAAAATGAAAAAGACCAAAAAAAAAATTATAAATTGTGGGAAATGTTGTAATTTGGACATTAATTTTGTTTTATCCATAGTGAATCTTATATTTTTAATATGGAAATAGGACTTTTTTCATAGGCATCAGTTTTGATAGAACAGTTTAAGAATTAAAGTAGTATGAAATTTAAACTTTTCATTAGATAAGCTTATTAACCTGAGAATCTAGTTTTATTTTTTTTTCAGGGTCTTGCTTTGCAATTCAGGTTGGCCTTAAATTCACTATATAGCCCAGGTTGGCCCTGAATGCTTGGTGATCCTCCTGCCTCAGCCTCCTGAGTGCTGGAATTATAGGTGTACACCACCATGCCTGGAGAAAACCTAGTTCTTGTACAGAATAGTTTAGGGTTTCATACAAGTTTCCAGGTAACTGTGGGAAGAATGTGAAAGCAATAAATCCGTACTTATATCCTAAATATTGAGATTAATTTTGAAACAGCTTCTATTTAATTGGCTAGAATTTTGCCTTCAAATCAAAATGGCAGTCTTCTAACTAAAAAGGAAGCATTTAATTTCTTTGCCTTTAATCTGTCCAATTTTATCCCCACCCCCACCAGACTTCTTTCTTTACTGGTCAATAGAGGGTTTAAACTGTTAGAAATTTCTATGATGTAAATAGCACTAATAACCTTTCAGGCAGAGATAGGAAGAGGTTGGATAGGTGTGTATGTGTGTGTGTGATCACTTATTTCTTATTACATCTTCAGTGGTGCTAAAAAGCCTTTTGGTCCCAGGACCTCTGTGCTCTTAAAAAAATTTTGAGCCTAAAGAGCTATGATTTATGTGGGTTGTATTGATTTATAGAAATTGAAACTTTAATTATCTGTAATTCATTCTGAAAAATAATGCATTAAATGGTTACTGTCTTGGTTACTTTTCCTTCCTTGCAGCAACAAAATACCCAATACCCAAAATTAAGGAAGGAAAGGTTTATTTAGCTCACAGTTCATGGAGGTTTCAGTCCATAAGTGGCTGACTCCAAGGCAGAGTAGCGTGGCACGGGACAACAGTTCAAGGCCACAGAAGATAGCAAAAGCAGCAAGAGCACAAAGAAGGAAGCAAGCCTCTTTTCCTCCCTTATGTTGTAAGCAGGCCACCACCCCCTAGGGCAGGTGTAGCACTACCACCATCTCTGTGCCCCCCTCTTGCACAGGCTGAGGATGTTTACAAAGTAAGGACCTTGGCCCCTGCAAAGTCACTTAATGAAACTTCTAAGCTTCTCAAGTTGACACAATGAACAGCATCCTAGAGCCTAGAGGATATGTCCTCTATACCTCAGGATGTAGAACTGCCCAGTTACTTAGCTAAGCTTCTAGGCTTCTCAAGTTGACACAAGGTATCAACCATTACAGTTACTAAAGTCACATTTTTCTGAATATTTTCCAAAACAAAAACTGGAATAAAAATTGGATGAGAAGAGTAACATCATTTTATATTTTCAAAAAATTTTTTTGAGACAAGGTCTTAGTGTGTAACCCAGGTTGGCCTTGAATTCACTGTGTAGCCCAGGCTGACCTAGAACTCCTGATTCACCTGTCTCAGCCACCAGAGTGTTGGGACTACAGGCGTGGCCCGCCATGCCTGGCTTGCAAATCTTTTTAATGTGTGATTTAATAAGAGAGAGAAGGCTGCTCATCAGCTTCTGCATTCACATTATGCGAAGATACCTCAAAATCACAGAGGATAAAGGTGAAAGAGAACTTTTTAAAAAAATCATTTTGGAAATAGTAATTTTGACATTGGAAAGTCCTTTTGTGACCTTCAGTTTTCCCTGGACCACACTTCGAGAATTGTCTACTCACCATGCACAAAAATGTGAGAGTTTTTGCAAATGCTTCTACTATTGAGCCATGTCCCCAACCTTTTAAAAAAGTTTTGTCAGTGCTAAGTTGATGAAATAGGACACTCTTCAGTATTTCTTTCTTAGTATTAAAAATATACCTTGTAATTTGATCTAATATAGGTTCATGCACCTTTTGAAAAGAAATCTACCGTTTGAAATTCTGGAGATGGGCTGGGGATTTAGCTCAGTGGCACAAGGGCCTACCTGGCAAGTGCAAGGTCATTGAGTTTAATTCCGGGTTCAAAAAAAAAAAATTCTAGAGACCAAGCATACAGTGTATAAACTATCATGAAAAGTGAGGATGCAGAGTTTCTAAATGTCAAATATTGAATATCAGTAAATATTTTTTCCCAAAGTGAATTTTCCCAGCCGTCATTCATAGCTTATTTGAAGTTTATGTAAGTTTTTGTAATTATTTTTTTCTTAAGTTGTTAAAATTCTGTATTTAGAAAATTCTTATGTATAAGATTTTATGTATTTTTCTTTTTGTGATCTCACATTTTCCTTTCTCTAGTTATTTTTATTTACTTGTATGTACATTTTTGTGTTATAGTTGGTTTTGTTGTTTTAAACTTCATTCATTCTAAGTCTTTTTTTTTTTTTTTTCTTCGTCCAGGGTATGGATTGTGAACAACTTGGTTTTGGTTCACGTGTTCATTTGTAAGTTTGGTTGTTTGATGCCTTAAACCTTGATGTTACAGATTGTGCTATCCAGGAGATTTTAATGCAAGCCCCATATATAATTTTAAGTTTTCTTGTAGCTACAATTAAATAACAGGTGAGATTAATTTTAATATATTTTATTTGACCTATAAAATTATTTCCAAAATACTTCAACATGTAATTGATATAAAATTTATGAGATACTTATATTCTTTTTTTGTACAAAGCCTTCAAAATCAAGTATTTATTTTATACTTAAAGCACATCTCAATTTGCACTAGCCTCAGCTCTAATAATCTAGGGCTTTATGGCTAGTAGCTTTTAAAGTGACATAAATAATAGAGTAATTCTGGTTAGGGCAAAAAAGCCTAAGGAGCACATTAGTAAAGCTAAAAAATTATACTTGCATGATGAGAAAAAATGGAGAACAATGCCATTGCAAGACAGTGTCCAGAGTTTTGGACTGCCAGTACCTCTCTGGATCTCCTGTATACCTGCATTGTGGTACACCCGGGGGTGGCTTGTGGAAGAGTTGAAGGGCATCAAGTCTCTCTGGGCTTGTGGGTGTTAAAGAGCATTAGATAGGAGTTGGATGAAAGAGCCAGCGTTGATTGACCTCTGGAGGGGTTCCTTGCTCTGGGCTAGATATTTAATTTACATTAATTCATTCACTGCCCAACTCAGTAAGCTTGGTTTTATTAATCCTAGTGTATGAGTGGAAACCAAGATCAGAAGTTAACAAAATTTCTGAGTCACACAGGTAGTAAGTACTAATAAACATGCTGATTTTAGAGGATTCCCTCTTTCCAGCCATACTACTTTGTAATTTTTATAAATCAAATTCTAGTCTTCTCTCCCTCTCCCTCCCTCTCCCTCTTTCTTTCTCTCTTTATTTTTGTGATACTGGGGGCTATTCTACTGCTGAGCCACAGCCTCAGTCTCAGTCCTTTTAAACTTTTTAAATTTTGAGGCAGTTTTGCTAAATTGTGAAGGGTGTCCTTGAACTTGGATTTTCCTGCCTCAGCCTCCAGAGTTGCTTGATGATAGGCATAGACCGCTGCGCCTGGCTCTTTTTTTTTTTCTCAATGTTGGAGATTAAATTCATGGCCTCATGCATACTAGGCAAGGGCTTTATTGCTGAGCTAAACCTCAAGCCCTTGAATTCTATTTCTAACTAGTTGTATGACGTTGAATAAAGTCACTTCACTTGTGAACCTTTGTCTTCATCTGTGAAGTTAAGAGTTGATCTGGAGTCTGGGAATACAGCTCAGCAGCACAGCACCTGCCTGGAAAGTACAAAGTCATGAGTTCGATTCTAAGAGTTGATCTGGGTCTTGAGAACACGGGCTTTGATTAGAAGTGCTATTGCTAGGGAGGATGGTTTCTCTGAAGTTAACTGGGTCAGGTTTATTATTTAACTCCCAAGTTTAAGGTCAGGTCTACTATTTGGATTCCAGTCACACCAGGGAGAAGAGGGTGTAATGATAAGCCCTAAGATTATTGTATACTTAGGGACCATGCACAGTGCGAAGTGCTTTGCTTGTATGTATTCATTATTTAATTCTCACAACCTATGAGGTAGATTCTATTGTTTGTATCCTCTTTTTACAGATGAGGACATTAGGGCCTGGAGAGCCTAGTATTTTGCTTCAGCATTATACAGCTAATAGAGGTAGAACCAAGATTTAGTGCCTGGTACCTGGCAGCAGATTCTTACTGCTTCCTTCCGTCTGGAGAGACCTGTCATGGTGGCCAGCGGACCTTTAGAGTGTTTCACTGTTTTCTGCTTCCTTATATTGCTTCTCACAAAAAAGGAAAACCCTGTTGCTGCTGTAAAGCTGTTAGTCTTGCTGATAGGTACATTAAGCTTTTTCAGGTAGAAGTTAATGCATGTGCCCCAGCTATCACAAATTTTAGAAGTCAGTTTAAATTAAATAAATTTGATGAATGAATTGATAAGACTTTTTTTTTCTCTGTGATATTGGGGATTGATTTGAAGGCCTTCGCACTGAGTTATATCCCCAGCTCTTTTTTATTTTTGATTTCAAGACAGGGTCTCACTAAGTTGCCCAGGGTGGGCTTGAATTTGCGATTCTCCTGCCTCAGCCTCCCAGTGTTGGGATTACAGGCATGTGCCACCATGCCCAGCTTATTGGTAAGATTTTTAAAAGTAGCTATAGTTTATTTATGTTGCATATTCATATAAGTGTACTATATGTCTGTAAAATCATATAAAAAGTAGAAAAATAAATGAGAATTTTGTGAGTTAAAGTCTTGAGAGCATGTCTGATGCTCTCAGCTTTACAGGTGAAGAAAAAAGGCCAAAACCATTTAAGTATCTTAAAGATAATTTTGTTCTACAACTGTTAGAACCCTTGGTTATAAGTAGGAGAAATTAACTGCAATAGCAAAAAGAGGGAATTTAAGAATGTAAGCATTTCAGAACCAAGGACAAGTACTGAGGACTAGAGTCTGGCACTGAAAAGCACCCACTGTCCTATCATCTTGCTTTCCTTTCTCACCTGACTGCCTTTCTCTGATACTCAGCCCACATGGCAGGCAGAAGTGACTACCCACAGCTGCTCTTTGCCATGACTAATTTTAGCCATATATCGGCTCCCTCTTTGTTTTTACAAATTTTGGACAAAAGGGTGTTCACCTTGATTCATGTTCCCCATCCTGGCCTGGCCATATGTTGATTGGGCTAACACCAGGGAGTGGGAGCCTGTCTGCTAAGCCGAGAATGTATGGCAGAGGGACTCTTCTCTCCACCCCCTCCTTTCCTCTTTCCTTCCTTCATTGTCTTCTGATATCACCGTTGCCCATCTGATATTATCATCATCATATTATTGGAAACCTGGGTTACTTTTTTTTCTTTTTTGAGACAGGGTCTTGTTATGTAGTTGAAACTGGCCTTGAACTCGTGTCAATCACCCTGCCTCAGCCTCAAGAGTGCTAGGATTATAGGCATTAACCATCATGCCCAGCTAGATTACTGTGTGTGTGTGTGTGTGTGTGTGTGTGTGTGTGTGTGAGAGAGAGAGAGAGAGAGAGAGAGAGAGAGAGAGAGAGAGAAAGCATGTTGTATTTATTTATGGTGCTAGAGAGCATCTAGGTCCTTCTGCATGCTAAGCTATACTCTGTTCCCTATATGTTCGATTAAAATTTTCCATTAATGTATTTTCAGAGAGGTAATTAGCTGTTTGAGACCTTTCCAGATAGTAGTAATTGTTGGGTAGAGTGGATTACTTTAATATAAAGTGAAATATATAATACTTTAGCCACTGTCTATCTAACAGCTTAGCTGAGTGTGGTTGCACACCTGTAATCCCAGAATTTGAGGCAGGAGAAGTACTGTGAGTTCGAGGACAGCCTAGCCTACGTAGTGAGTTTAAGGACAGCCTGAACTATATAGTGAGACCCTGTCTCAACAAAACAAAACATAACAGCTTAATGGAATGTAAAGCAATGTACTCTCAGCTGTATGAGTAGCAATGTCGTCCTACCTTTTGTCACTAAATCTTTGTTAAATGTGATCAGTAGATCTTGACAAGCCAAGGTGATAACTGGTGACCTGAATGACCCTGAGTTAACAGATTTTTCATTTAGTTTAATTTGTTGTTTTTATTATTTTATTTCTCAGTACTGGTAATTAAACTCAAGGACCTTTGTACTGAGTTACATCCTTAGTACTTTTTATTTTTGATTTATAGACAAGATCCCAAGTTACCCAGGCTGGGATCCAACTTTTGATCCTCCTACCTCAGCCTCCCAACCTGTTGGGATTACAGATGTGCATCATTATTTGAATTATTTTGAGAATTGATAATTAGTTTGACAGTGAAGGCCTTCTACTAACTAGAATTCAGATATCCACATACCATACTGTGTTTCTCTTTGTTAAGTAGGTATTTTTCTACATATCTCTTATATCACTTAGAAAACTTTTAAGTTCATTAATTTTACCATTAAAACTTCAGATAGCCAGCTGTAATGGTACACATCTTTAATTCTAGCACTTTGGGAGGTTGAGGCACAAGGATCACAAATTCAAGCCCAGACTGGGCAGCTTAGCTATTCAGTGAGACCTTGTTTCAGAATTAAAAAAAGATAGGGGATGTAGCTATGAGAAGTTCCTGGATTTAATCCTCAGTACCAGAAAAAATTCAGATAAACACGACCAAATTGATAGCTTACTTTGAATGTGTTAGTAAAGTAGTTCTGACAAGCATTGGTTACATTGTATATGTTTTATATATGTAATCTGCTATATGCACACATACATTTTAAAATATATTTATATATTTCCTTGTGGGGTGTTCTAGAGATTGCACACAGGGCCATTGCAATGAGCTGTATTCCCAACACACTTTTTTTTGTAACTTTGAGGCAGGATCTAGCTAAATTGCTTAGGCTGGGCTTGAACTTGTGATCTTCTTGCCTCAGACTCTCAGAGTGCTGAGATTACAGACATGTGCTCCCCATCTGGCTTTACATGTGATGTGGTGAATGTTTAAATTGAAAAAAAAAATACAGTAAAAGCCACATTGTAGTTAGTTCCCCTCAAAATACCCCCTCTTTTTCACTTTGAATGCACCTTTCTGATCATTCTTGGCACTGTCTAAAGCAGTTCTGTAAATTTTGTGGGTTTTTTTTCTGCTACCGGAAATTGAACTCAGGATCTTGTACTTGACAGGCAGGCACTGTGCCTCAGAGCTATATTCTCAGCTAAAGCAGTCTGGAAGACCTCTTTTATGAGTGTCTTTAGTTGTGCTGTTATAGCTGCCTTGATGTCTTGGATCAGTTCAAAATATTTGTCTATTATGTCATTTTGACTTTAGGGAAGAACCAGAAGTCACACAATGCCAGATCCAGGGAATAAGGTGGATGAGGACACACCATAATATTTTACGGACTGATGGAGGATGAAACTGTTTGCTCATTTGTTGTGCTGTTTTTTTTTTACCCACATTGTTTGTTAAACACTTTAATACTGTAGTAATCCTGAGTAAAAACTGCTTTTTCTTTCTTTTCTCTCATTGTATATATATATTTGTTTATTTAAATTTACCAAGCATTAATAAATTTTTGTTGGTACATTTTATATATACATAATGGTAACATTCATCGTAGACAATCTGTACCTATACATGAAATATCTTGCTGCTTTCTCTGTTTTTTTTTTTTTTTTCACATGAGAACTGAGTGCTTTCTGTTGAGAACTCTGAACCTTGGCCTCAGAATCATAAGCATAGACCCAAGTTTCATCTCTGGTGATGACATTTCTTGAAAAGTTAGAATCTGAGTGGCACAAAATTGACACAGTTTCATGTTAATTCATTATTCATGATCTATGGTTTGAACAATTCTTTTATTTTTTGTACTGGGAATTGAACTCTGGGCTTTGCTCTTGCCAGGCAGGCACTGTGCCGCTGAGCTACATCTCCGGCTCATAATCTGTGATTTATGGGACAATGTACAACACACATCCTTGTAACCATAGCTCACAATCAACTATACTGACCAGACTGAAACATGTTACTAAGGTTTGATGCCCCCTCTGTATTTCATTTCAACACACCTCTTGTATTGAAGATCCTTGCCTTTTTGTTGGATGACACTTGGTAGTAGCATTCATATTTTTTGATCACACCTCTTATTTCTTAATCATTTTAGTATATTGCCAAACACACACACTTGTTTTATGGAGATTGGATGCAGGGCCACTCTATCACTGAGCTACATCCCTACTGCCCCTCCCCCACTTTTTGTATTGGGACTGAAACTCAGGTCCTTGCACTTGCCAGGTGGGTGCTGCGCCTCATCCCTTTTTGAAAACATTCAAGACAGTGCTTCCTTGGGTTGCCCAGGCTGGCTTGGAACTTGAGATCCTCCTGTCTTAGCTTCCCAAGTAGCTGAATGACAGGTGTGTACCACTTCCTGGCATGTAATATATTTTTCCTCAAATTATATATTAAACCCTCTTGTGGTCTACCTTTCCAAAATTAATAGGGTTTTTTTTTGTCTTTTTCATTTTTATCGGTACTGGGGATCAAACTCACGACTGCCTGCTTTACAAGGCAGGCGCTTATGCCGCTGAGCTAAATCCCCAGCCCCCAAAATTAATAGTTTTTAAAAACATTTTTTGACACAGTTTCTTACTCTGTAGCCAAGGTGAGCTTTGCACTTTCAATATCCTCCCACCTCAGCCTCCTGATGGCTGGGGATACAAATAGGTATCACTATAACAGGTTTTTTTTTTCTTTTTGTTTGAGGTGAGGTCTTGTTATATCACCTAGGCAGATTTCAAGCTCCTGGGCTCAAGTAATCCTCCTGTCTCAGCCTCCCAAGTAGCTGAGACTACAGGTGTGCACCATCATGACTGGCTGAAGTTATATACTTTTTTACTAATGAAGACTAATAAAACATTTGGTGTTAATTTCATCTTGTGCATACTTTGCTGTCTTAGCTAAGTGCACATTTAATGTGGTAGAATCAGAACTGAAAGGAAAAAATAAAAAGGCATCTAGAATGTCTTGATAAGATGAACACAGAGTAAAAAAAAGACTGAGAGAGGACAGAATTAGGGTTCTAGTTAGATGTACTGATTTTGAGATCCCAAAGAGGGATTGTCCCCCAGGAAAAGTATCTACTAAGTAAATTGATTTAGTGTACAGATTATGAAGGCCTTAAAGAAAGTAGATCTTAATATTCCCTTAATAGGGAGGTATAGTGTTTATATGAGAAAAAGGAGCAATGACAGAATCAGGGTGACATCACTGTTTAAGGGGTAGCTTAAGAGAAATGAGCCTATGAGGGAGATTGAGAAATGAGCAGCTAAGAATAAGGAAGACAATCGGGAACAGTGCTGTGGGGCTGAGAGTGAGCACTGAACCAAGGGGGTAAGCCAGGCCACAGAAGGGCCCACGGGAGCAGGGACTAGGAAGCGCCATTGGATTTGGGCCTGTCTTAGATAGGCTTTTAAAAAAGCAATAATATATTTTCTTTGCAGATAAGGCGAAATAAAAGCTGCTTGATACTCGTAACATCCCAAGATAGCTTGTTTTGTTTTGAGACAGGGTCTTAACTAGCCCAGGCTGGCCTTGAACTTACTATGTAGCTCAAGCTGGATCAAACTTGCAGTGATCCTCCTGCCTCTGCCTCCTGAGTGCTGGGATTACAGGTGTGCACCACCATGCCAGGCCAATAACTTTTTTTGTTTTTTTTGCAGTGCTGAATATGGAGCTAAGGGCCTCCTGCATGCTAGACTAGTGCCCTATACCACTGAATTCTGGCCATAGTCCCCACAATAACCATTTTAAGTATTTTTGGATTATTAGCCTTACCAACGTTTTGTTTTGTTTTGTTTTGCTTTGTTTGTAAAGTAGGGATAGAATCCAAGCCCTTTGCACTGAACTACATCTACAGCCCTGTTTTTCAACTTTTTATTTTTGAAAGAGTCTTGCTAAGTTGCTCAGGCTAGGCTTAAGTTTGTGGTCCTCCTGTCTCAGCCTCCCAAAGTGCTGGGATTACATGAATGCATCACCATGCCCAGCTTTGATTTGATTTTTAAATGGGTTATCTTTGACATTGAATAAAGATGATTCTGCCAGGTGCCAGTCAGTCAGTAAATGGGGGAGTGTGATTGATTGCAAAGTATGCATGTGGTAAGTGACAAGGAGGGTAACTGAAGATGGATTTTTCCAATTGGAAGGTCAGGTTTTACAGAGTAGAAACCTAAGAGAAGGCTTAGAAAGATCTGTAAGGGCCAGAGTAGCGGTAGGAAGCCTGGCAGTTGTGACCGTATCAGGAGGAGGAGGGAATTTGTGAAGCAACAGGAGCATGCAGGTGTGTGTGTGCACTGAAGCAGGTCCCACAGGGCACCATGTGTGGAAAGGGGTAGGAGGGCATTCAGGAGTGGGAGCGGGGTCTCAAGAGGAAGCTGGAAGCGGTATGAAGATTCAGGTTAAGAACGGTATACATGGTAGGGGGCTCGTGAAAGGGAAAAATTGCTTCACTTAATAAATAGTTGAAATAGACTGGTTTAGTTTATTCTGCTTTGCTTGGATCTTATTTTGCAATGCTGCAAATTGAATACGGAGTCTGCATGCCGAGCACGCACTATCACTGAACTAGCCTCAGCCCTAGATCTAATTTTAATTCCACCATTTAAGTCCTTTTTTTGATATCTCCAAGTTGGTTTAATTTCTTTTAAAATTACCTATTTATCTTTAAAATATGAGAACAGTACATCTCCACCATTTTTAAAAATAAGGTTAATCAGGTAAGTAAAGAGGAAAAGACAGATCCCATTACTCAGGGACACCATTTTGGTATTTATTTTTAAGAATTTTTCTCATCTAATCAAAAATACATATCTTTAATTTTTTGAGATATATTCGTATATGGCATTCTGCGTTTTAAAAAAATACCATTTAATAAATATCCTTTGTTGGAGTAAGTAGATTGCTGCTATCATTTTTAATTACAGTAATCCATCATAGGACTGCATCATATGTATTTAATAATCTTTTGTTGGATTTTCTTTATTTTGTGGTACTGGAGCTAGAATCTGAGGCCTTATGCATGCCTGGCCAAGTGCTTTACCTCTGAGCTACACCCCCAGCCCTGTTGTTGAATTTTTGAGCAATTTTTGTTGCCCAGATTGTCTCTGAGCTGTAGTTCCAGTGGTCTCCTGCCTCTGCCTGCTGAGTAGCTGGGTCTGCAGGTGTATACCACTGTGCCTAGCTACTTTTTAAATTTTTATGAATAAGGCTAAAAAGAAAAACTGGCTGGGTGTAGGTGGCACACATCTGTAATCCCAGCACTCAAGAGGCTGAGGCAGTAGGATCCCCTGAGTTTGAGGCCAGCCTGAACTATGTAGCGAGACCCTGTCTCAATACTTTCTCCCCAAATAGAAAAACCTTGTATATATGAATTGGCATATTTATCCTATTACTCCTTTTAGATAAATTTCTAGTTTTCAAGTATATATCCTGGTGTAATTTCTTTTTTTTTTTTAAATTTTTGTCCTTTTTTTTGCCTAATTTAATATTTGGCCGTGAAATTCTTTTTGTGTTGCTGATTTTGAGATATGTTTATATACAATGAACACTGTAAAAGTCAATGGGGTAGGCATGTTTTGTTTGTAAGTTAGCGATTTATCACCAGTGTTTGATAAATAACATATTTTATAGATTCTTTACCCCAGATAGGGGAGCCAAAACCATTAGTCTGAAAACATCAAGATTGCCTTCTTTCAAAGGTTTTGTGCACTTAGGACTTAAGTGAGCAGTAGAATTGGGATAATAATAAAAATTGTTAAAACTCTTAAGTCAGTGTTTTCTGAATGGATGGAAATGTGTAACAGCTTTTTTTTATTGCTTTTTTTCAGGTGATTCATGGCAGGGGACGTGGAAGGATTCTGTTCCTCCATCCATGACACCAGTGTCTCTGCTGGGTTCAGAGCACTGTATGAGGAGGGACTGCTTCTTGATGTCACTCTGGTTATTGAAGATCATCAGTTCCAGGCCCATAAAGCACTTTTGGCCACCCAGAGTGATTACTTCAGAATTATGTTTACTGCTGATATGAGAGAACGAGATCAGGATAAAATTCATTTAAAAGGTCTAACTGCTACTGGCTTCAGCCACGTCCTTCAATTTATGTATTATGGAACTATAGAACTGAGTATGAATACTGTTCATGAGATTCTTCAGGCTGCCATGTATGTTCAACTTATAGAAGTGGTGAAGTTCTGCTGCTCTTTTCTGTTAGCGAAAATCTGCTTAGAAAATTGTGCAGAAATTATGAGACTCTTAGATGATTTTGGTGTAAACATCGAGGGAGTCAGGGAGAAGCTGGATGCCTTTCTCCTAGACAACTTTGTGCCACTCATGTCCAGGCCTGACTTCTTGTCCTATTTGAGCTTTGAGAAGCTCATGTCTTATTTGGATAATGATCATCTGAGCAGGTTCCCAGAGATAGAACTGTACGAGGCTGTGCAGTCTTGGCTGCGGCATGACAGAAGACGCTGGAGACATACCGATACCATCATTCAGAACATCAGGTTTTGTTTGATGACCCCATCCAGTGTTTTTGAGAAGGTTAGTGCCTTTGAAAGCAGTAGACAGGCTATAGGACTAACTTAGTTAAGGCAATATGTCTTTATGCATATGATTGCTAATCAGGAGCAAAACAAGGAGTGATGCGCTTATAAGAAAATCTTATATATAAGAAGCCTGATTTTGTTGTAGCTTGTGCATTTAGGTTTTTTAAATAGATTTTTGTGTGTCAGAGACGAACCAGGTAGGTAGAACAGTTGCATCTTCAAAGTACTTTTACAGTTGAATCATAATTAATTATTTGATGCAAAATATTACAGATTTTCTTCAGCTTTTCCTTTTACAAAGTAATTAAATCTGAACTGGGTCAGCCTAACTATTTTTAAAAATTAAGTAATACATGCTGGAATTGGCATTGAGGAGTTTTGCAGTTCTGCATGGTATACAATAATATATTTTTTTCCTCCAGAATGTAGTAAGGACACACAAAATAGCTCTTGAAAACCAGTAGTCCACCCTAGTAATTTTCTTCCCTTCTGTCACCTAGTTCTGTTTCTGTCCCTGTTTCACTGTGAATACTAACTAAATTTAACCATGAAACCATGTTATATGTTTAAAAACATCATCTTGGCATTTCTAAATGAGTAGACTATAAATCCTTTATCTGTACTGATCAAACATCCCTGTGTACATTTTAACATATGAATAGTTCTCTCTTAAAAAGTCATTCTTCAAAATAGCCTTGACCTTTTGGTATGTAAGCATTTTTCATTTTGTATATCAGACCCTCAATTGTATTCCTTTCCTGCCCAAAGGAGAGAGAGCAGTTTCAGTAATTGCTTAACTTAATTGGTTTCTAATCACATGGTTACCTGTGGGGCTCTGTTTATCTCTTGCATCTTTTCTTTCTAGAAAGCATACAAAGGTTGGCCTGCACCTTTCATGTTAAACAATTCCTCAGCTTTGGTTATCAGACCTGGTGATAAAAATGTATTTGCAAAGGAGGGTTGTTTTTGCCATTTGAAAAATAAACAAATTTGTGCCTTTGAGTAAAGTTCAGCAGCTTGGCATGTTTTTTTCCCCCTCTGAAATACTGTGAAATGTCATTATATTTTACTTTTAATAGGAAACTCAACTTTATATTTGTCTTTGTTATCTTTTATCTTTGTTCTCAGAATATATTGATATAAAAGAAATAATTGAAACTAAGGGATATATTTCTTAATTTCCTTCTGTTCAGTGAGAAACAGCCCCATCAGCCATTTGTCTCTTTATGTTTTCATTTTTCACTATTGTTTTTATTGCTTTCTTTCCCACTGCTAAAACAAAACCCCTCCAACTGGCATCTGGATAGAAGTAGTCATGAAATAGAAAATACAAGTTACTCTCTTATGGGGCAGTTTGATAGTTAAATAGTAGAAGTAAGTGATTTTGTAAGAGCTGAACTGCAGAGCCTTTGTATATTCCAATTATCAGTTCAAGGCAGGTAATAGTGACAGTGGCTGAAAGTCAATACTGTCAGGTAACCTTGTAAATTATAGAAAGTCTCAGTTGAACTTGCTGATGGATTCCTTTGGCATCTAAAGCATGTTAGATGTTAGGAGTTACAAAACATGAAGGATTCCTCCTGAATTAGTGTCTTAGGAAAATTTAATAACAACCTAGTCACAGAGAGCTCTTTCAGTTTTTTGTGTTTTTATAAAAGTTTTAGTTTTATTTCAGTAATACTGATAAGTAGAGATCCAGTGATTCCTGCCTGAACAATATGTGGGATTTAAGTTTTATAAAAGGAATCTGTGATTTTCTAAAAATTGAGAACCACTAAGGCAGATTTTAGGCCTTCTCCCTGGAAATAAAACTCCAGAAACCAAATGAATATGCAAAATTTGATTGGAAAGTAAGAATTGAGAGTATTTTACACCATGCAGTGGTGGAGGATTTGCCTAGTGTGCAGGAACCTGGGTTCAGCTCCTACCTCTGTGGGAAAAAAAGGAAAGAAAATTAAAGTTCATCTATTTTTCTTGTACTCAACAAGCTGCAGGTCTCAAAAAAGTTCAAGGCTGGGGATTTAGCTCAGCGGCATAAGCACCTGCCTGGCAAGCACAAGGTCATGAGTCTGATCCCTGGCACCAAAGGGAAAAAAACAAAAGACCATGTAACATATGCATGGCCCCAGAGAAACATAGACTTAAAAGACACATTGCATCTCTGCTGGTCTTTTTTAAGTGAGATCTACATGAGGAAAAGTTTGATTTGTAGTTTTAATGCAGTTGGTGAAATTTAGGAAAATGAGATGTTATTGGGCATATTTTTCTCTTTAACATGTTTTAAACTTGCTATTATAAGGCTTTCTAAACACATAAAAGCTGAAATAGAATGATCATGCATACACATAGCACACAGGTTAATGGTCACTAACATTTTGCCACATTTACTGGATAGGTAGAGGATGTGTAGCCTTTGTGTAATTTGGTTTTGGTTTTGGCTGAACCATTTTAAATTGTAGACTTTATCCCTTTCTTAAGCATCTGCCAAGAGTGAGGATATTATTCTGCTTAACCATAAGTCATGTCACACCTAATGAAATTAACAATAATTCCATAATGTGTAATATCCAGCCCCTTTTCTAATTTTCTCAATTCCAAAAACATTTTTTTAGAGATACTGAGGATTGAACCCAGAGCTTGCATACTTAGCTATAACCAACCTCAGCCCTCTTTAATTTTTGGTTACAAGGTTTTGCTAAATTGCCTAGGCTGGGCTTGAATTTGCCATCTTCTTCCTGAGTAGTTGGGATTATAGGCGTGTACCACTGTGCCTCTGTGCCTAGCCAAAGTTTTGTTTTCCTCATTTCTTCTTTTTTTTTTTTGTATTTTTTGCCACTCCATCAAAGATTTTTTTAGCTGGTTTTCATGAACCAGGATTTATCAAGGTTTTCACAGTACATTCGGAGTCTTTTTTAATGCACCTTTTCCCATTTACCATAAGGATGTTTAAAAATAGGAAAAGTTGAATGACTAGTATGATGAGCACCATTAGAGCTGTTATATTTGCTATACAGTGGTACCTTGGTTCGTGAACTCGATTCTTTCCCTGATTCTGGTCACAAACCGAGTTGGATGAGAATTGAATCAAATTCTATGGTTAGGTTCAATGTTGACCTTAAATACAGTGGGAAACACTGTATTTACTTTCCAACCTTTGAAAATAAATAGTTAACTTCAAGAGACCTTAGTCCTAAATGCTTAACATACTTCTAAGAACAAGGACTTTTTCCTAAGTACAATTCAACCCCACCTAGGAAAATTAAGACCTGTGATCAAATAGCTAATCTGTATTTATATTTCACCAGCTGTCCCCCAAATCCACTAGAATCTTATCAAGGTTTATACATTACTTTTAACTGTTGTGTCTGTCTAAATTTTCTTGATCTATAACAGTCCTCTCATTTTTTTAAGAAATACTAGGCCAGGGCTGAGGATTTAGCTCAGCGGCATAAGTGCCTGCCTTGCAAGCAGGCAGTTGTGAGTTTGGTCTCTGGAACTGATGAAAAAAAAAAAAAGTTGAAAAAAAAAGAAATACCAGGCCACCCATTTGCATAAGTGTATCCCATATTCTGGATGTATCTGATTATTTCCTTGTGTTGTTATCAACTTAGTTCTTCAAGTCCCTTTAATTTGTGTTAATACATCTGCTTTCTTCTTTTTTTTTTTGGTACCAAGGATCGAACTCACAACCTCACACTTGCCAGGCAGGCGCTTATGCCACTGAGCTAAATCCCCAGCCCAACACATCTGCTTTCTAACATGATTTTCAGGAACAATTATAGGAAAATGTTGTAATGCCAAAGAAAAACCTGGAAAACCACTTAGTAACTGATCAAACTTAGAAATCCCCATTTTTTTGGTATTATGAGGTCACGCAACCCAATTTTATGACTAAAATCATCAAGAATTTTATTAACATAGTACTATTATGTGTTAGGTTTCTTTTAGTCATTAAATATGTATTGCTGGGAATTGAACCCAAGGCCTTAACATGCTAGGGGCAAGCACCCTACCACTGAGCTACACCTCTGCCTTCACTCATTTTTATAATGGTTATGTGTTGAAAACATTTTGGCTGTAGTAAGTTAAGCATATTGTTAAAATCAGCTTTGTAGCTGAGCATGGTGGTGCAGGCCTTTAATCCCAGACCTCAGGAGGCTGATTCAGGAGAATGGCCTTGAGGTAAGGCCAGCCTGGGCTGCATAGTAGGTTCATAGCCAGCCTGGAATAAATAGACCATATCTCAACTTCAGTTTTATCTTTTTGCTTTTTAAGATGCACTGCTAGAAAATGTTTTTGTTTTTTTACTTTTGGTTGTTTTATTACTGAGGATTGAACCTAGAGCCTTTGGACTAAATTACGTCTCTGGCCCTTTTTTAGTTTTTCTTTTGAGATAGGGTCTCAGTTGCCAAGTGGCTTAAGTTGGGCTCAAGTTTGTGATCCTCCTGCCTCAGCTTACCATAGTGCTGGGATTACAGATGTGTTCTGCACCCAGCTTGGTTTTTCTTTCTTTGAGACCAGTCTGGCAATGTACCCTGGGCAGGCCTTGAGCCATTGATTCCCCTGCCTCAGCTTCCTAAGTGCTGGGATTACAAGTGTGAACTATCATGCCTGACTAGAAAATGCAAATTGCAATTTTGGCTTGTGTTTATGGTTCAGATTATGTTTCTCTTTCCTAGTGCTGCTCTAAAATGAAAGGACTCAGTTTAGTAGAAACTGTGAATATGCATACAATAAACAACCTTTCACATATTTAACCAAGATCTCAGCCACCTATGGGTTCTGTGGAGTGGTTGATGAAGATAACTGTTAATGAGCACAGCATCTCTTTGTCAGGTCCTTTCTCTGTCTTCAGGAAAATCAAAAGCATCTGTCCAAAGCCTGCGGAAGGAACCTGTGGAAGTTTTTATTCTTCCTGTGATAGTTACTGCCAGATCTGATTGGTGGCTTCACAGAGAAGGGAAAAGGACATTCCGTGTCTCCCCAAGGAGGAGC